CCAGGGCTGGACGTACTTGGACAGCGCGGCGGGGAGGCAGTCGACGCATTCGCAGATCTAGACGCAGAGAACCCCGTCAGGCCGAGCCCACCAAGACTATGTGGGAAGAGAGAGGGCGACAGGACCAGGGGGGGGTCTCTGTGCCATGGGGAAGTCCACTCACGTCGGTCTTGCCGATGCCGCACTGCAGAAGGGCCGAAGGGTCCCTGTTCTTGATGGCCGTGTAGATGCAGGGCACCTCCTTGGCCACGGTGAAGATGCAGCCGAAGCAGCTTCCTAGCGGGGCCGTGGCGCCGAGGCCGCCTTCGGTCGAACCGGGCTCGGGGCTGGCGCCGAGGCTGCCGTTGTTGGAGCCGGGGGTGCCGGGTCCGACGCCGCCGTGGCCGGGGCTTCCGTGGCCGGAGCTTCCGTGGCCATGCTCGGAATGACCCTGGTACATAGGGTTGAGAAGGTACGGGCCCACTGTGGTGGATGTCAGCGTCCGGAGCGTGAAGATGGCGTTGTGCGACTTACTATGCTTGGCCAGGCAGAGCTCGAGACCGGCAGGGATGAAACCGGTAGCTGAGAAGGGTTCGAGTTAGCTCCGGATGGCAGGGGACAGGATGAGTCTTTGAGTACTCGAGTCGGGGCCGGAAACGAAAGCACACCGATCAAAACCACCGGCGCTGCATTTTGCATCTCACTCACCGTACTTGGCATCCCAGGGGACGACGTCGTGGTCGCCAGTCTTCTTCTTGCAGTCCTTGGCGGGCTTGTTGCCGTGGACGGGGCCTGCGCTGACGGCGCCAAAGATGGTCGCAGCGACGGCGAGGTGGGCGAGGAACTTCATCTTGATCAAGGGATGTTGTATTCAGAAATGACAGTGTTTCTTGGGGAAAGGGGTAGTAGTAAAGACTGTGAGTTGCGGATGAAGCTTTCGGATCAAGGAACACCATGGCCAAGCTGCTCAGCACTGGTTCTTAAATATTCGATTCTGTTGTTGACGGCATGAGAAATGCGCCGGCTCGACGATGTGCTTCCCAGCGCGAACTTCGGAAACGAATGCTCTGAACATAACAGAACTGTTGAATAGGAATGCTGTTTTCCTGGACGTTCACCGAGACAGATAACCTGTCAGTTCTCTCAAGTCTTGAGACTTGAAGGTCCTACGTTGAGGGGTTGTTGCTGAGACATCATGATCGTACGCCCTCGAATCACGATTGACGGAGCTCGAACACTGCGAAAGCCACGAGACGGCAACCTTGACGAAGAAATGTTCTTGTCCTCAGTCTCAACACCCCTGGACGAACTAGTCAACTAGTATCCCTTCCTGACGCTAGATCTGCTGGAATGTTGGGCAGCCACCACGCGGCGGACCGATGCGGCGCTCTAAATCGTGGAGGTAACGCTCCTTGATGTTTCTTATTCGACAAACGGCCCTGCATGACTATGTGATCCCAATCGCAGTGAACAACGGAAGTCTTGGCCATATTTTGAAAAGCCACGATATGGTAGGTACGTTCCTGACAGGAACTCAGCCGCACCTGGCACTTTGCGCGTTATACACGAGTTGAACTGCTTTCCACCCGTCTCGCGCCAAAGCATGCTATGCAACCAGAAATGCCGTGAGAGAAGACAGTGATGGACCGGTCGAGGTCTGGCCCATATTTTGAGCTGCTGATGCCTAGGATTGGGAAGATGACTTTTGACTCAGAGCCATAAAACTTCCCCTGAATGCCAGCCTTCGCGTCCGCTCTGGTACCCGTGAGGGGAGCCGAGCTTTTGCCCCTGTCTGCCGTAGTCTGCGCGGGTATACAAGAAGATGACCTTTTCTCTCGTGCCAAGGCCGGACACTCTCCTTCCTGCACCCAGGACCGACCTCACGCGTACAATGTCATTCCTCGCCGTACGCAACAGGGTCTCAAGACCCCCCCGCTCTCAAGAAGCCATCTCTCAAGAACGGCTGAACGAGCACCGCTCTACAAACCCATAGCGAGATCTTTCAGAGCATACTAGGAGTCACATTGGCGTTGTGGGTTGATGAACTGGCAGCAGGCGCCCTAAGAACCTGCCGCGTACCTGGGTCATAACATATTTATGTGTGAATTCGTGGTGCTGAGTATACGAATGTAAATGATCACTGGCAGAGCGAGAGGTCGACCACATTTACGGGCACGAGGGTTCATGCGACTATTCGCGTTCAGACGGTCAACGACCCATTAGCCTCGTCATCATTACATCATTGTAGTCGCCGGTGGTGTTGTTATTGCAGCAGCTACCCCTAACATCGTAGGTGGTTCAATATTCGTGTCGGGAATTCTCGAAAGGATTCTATCGGTGAATAGAAGCCTTCACTGAGTGAGGGACATATGGCCCCAAAAAAGGCCTGGAACCTGCTTGCAGTCTTATTCTAGCATCGTGGCACTGTTCGTCGCCTGGCTCTGTACAGGCCAGTGAAGGATGACTGTCAGCGCGGAACATGAGATCTTTTATGCATTGTGCACATAATGAACCAGCTCATGCAGATTGATGATGAGCAGTAGGCTACTTGCATAGTGCGAGCATATGCTAAGCGATCGCCCTTCCCTAGGCAGGTAGGTGCTCAGAGGAGTACGATTAAATATGCCATCATTCCAGCAGGCGTCTGAAATATCCGAGACCCAGCTCCATACATGAAGCTATATTTGAAGACTGATCTGCGGAGTGCTTGCAAAGCTTGAGGCAACCTGAGGGATCCTAACAACACTAGTATATCTTGCTTTGGTCATAGAGAAATGGAGTCAAGGTGTTTGCTGATCTGAGGTACAATAATGCCACGGTACAAAACAACAGGAAAATCGGACCGAGACAAACAACCGGACGGATGACACCCCGAGTCTCTTCTCTCTCTCTCTCTCTG